GTGGTATGAAATGAAGAGTATACATTAAAGATGATAGAATCACTATTTTGTAAATAAATAAGTCAGATGAGGTGCAATCAAAGGTAGAAGACCTGAGAGATGAGGAACACACAACCTTCCACAAATTGATCCTAGCAGATGATAAACGAAGAAACTTTACTTGCTAATGCAAAACCTAGAAATAGAGGTAGTGTTTTATAATATAATTAAAATAGTAGGAGATCTGATTTTTTTTTCTTTTGAAGACATGAGCTTCTGCTGTTTACTAGGACCTGTTTGGCTGGATGCTAGAAACACACACAGGTAAAATCCAAGAAGGCAGTCTACAGGGAGATTTAAAAAAAAAAAAAAAAGCCACTGAAGTGTGGGAAGACTTCTATTTCTAAACATTTTTAAATCTCGTTCTCTAAAACTTCCATTTTGCATATGTTTTTGTTTTCATTTTTTGTTTGATTTTTGGCACCAGAGATTGAACTGAGGGACATTTAACGACTAAGACACATCCCCAGCCCTTTTACTTTTTATTTTGAAATAGGATCTCACTAGATTGCTTACATCCTTGCTTAGTTGCTGAGGCTGGTTTCAAATGTGCAATCCTCCTGCATCAGCCTCCAGAGCAGCTGGGATTACAGGCATGTGCCACCACGCCTGGCATGTATGATTTTAATATATAATAATTATTAGTGTATATAACTTATAAATGAATCAAAGAATATATATTTGTATACTTAAACTGAATGTGAAAAATATATACTCAAAAGTGATTGCTGAAGAGGAATACAGTCAAAACAGTGTATCAGCTATATCAATCACAACAAAGAATGTGATAATACTTTGCTAGGAGTGTACGGGGATTGTGAGATCCATGCTCCCCACTCCCATTCCTGTGGAAATAACCTCTGAGCATCAGGTGACTCAAGGTAGGAGATAAGGCCTTGTCTGAGTCCACACTACACAGTGTTCATCAACAGTGGGCAACAAACAAACAGAAAACTACTGTAACAAAGACAAAATCAAGGAGAAATTCCCCCACTCAGGAGAAAAGATGTGCTGCAGAGTAATCATTCAGAAATCAAAGTAAATCACACAGTTCCTTCAGCAATGTTTATCTTTCTTTCTCTTCTTTCTCTAAAAATCTATCCCTCCCACACACACACACACACACATAAAGAATAAAAGCAATGCATTGAAATGTACGGGACCCAGAATAGCTGACACTATCTTGAAAAAAAAAAAACCAAAATTCTCAATGTGAACACTTACTACAAAACTGCAATAATCAAGACAGTGCAGTACCGGCATAAGAATTGGCATACAGGTCAATGGAATAGATTTGAGACGCCAGCAATAAACCCTTGTATTTATGGTCAAATGGTTTTAAACAAGGGTGCAAAGACAATTCAATAGGGAAAGAATAGTCTTTTCAACAAATGATGCTAGAGCAACTGGATATCCACGTGCAATAGAATGAAATTCAAACCCTTCTTGCCACAACAAAATTCAACTCAAAATAGAACAAA